ATTATACACAAATGAACGAACACCCATTTGTCAGGCTGTCAGGTGTCTCGAACTTTGGGTCAATGATCTGCTCTCTCTCCAGCATCCTCCTCAGAAATATTATAATTACTTTGACACTCCATCAAAGTCGGATGATTATCTGTAGAGATTCTCTCTAGTTGCTGTTGTTTGGCTTTGACAAACACTAGACTTAACGCGAAAATGTGACCTCACAGAACACGGTAACTAACCTAAGTTACCCTGGAAACTAAACGTAAAAAAATAAAGTCCCAACTAAATATTTACGCAGACATAAAAAACAACAACTTGGTGTTAAACTAAAAAATACAAACTGCAAATAATGCACAAGTTGTGTCCGCTTCACGCTCTTTTAATGCATTCAAGCTAAAAATAAAAAATAAAGTCGCACAACTACAACAGCTGATAAGTTAATTCAAGCATGGAGAACAAGAAAAGTAAAAATAAATTAATATAAGAAAAGTAGCCAAAGGCGATAAGGTGGAAAAACAGGAAATGCTAAAAGCAAAATAAAACATACCATTTTAGACCTTTTAAATAGGTTGGCAAACTTTAATCTTATCGGAGTTTTCCTTTGGGTCTTGAAGCTTAAATGGATTTTTCCAGCAGTCATTTAATTATTTATTTCGACTTGTTTTGATGGTAATTTTTCCCAATGAGTTACTGCTCTTAATGATAAAATATGATATTTAACACCCCTTAACTGGTTTATCTAAATATCTTTCTGTGACAGATCGATAAATCATGTTAATTCTGTGTCGAGTTTTTCGTTTTTGATTTGTTAATTAAAGGGTTAAGGTTTAAATCGATTTATTTAATAGATTTGTTATCGCTTCTATAAATACAAAGTAAGCGATAATTACTGTGAACCTTCATATGCTGATATATTACGATAAAAACTTATTCCATAACTTGACGTCGCACCTTTCCCAGGCCAAGCCTCTCTCACACACACCTTGATTACCTGTCGGGTTCCCCTCTTAACCCGATGGAGCTAGAAGAGGCACTATTTTAACCCGCTCAGAAATTATTCCGATGCATAATTAGCATATCTCTTTCCTTTCGCATTTTTCTCTCTTTTGCCTTTGTGCCTGTTCCGCTGTTCATCTTTTTAGCCATTTTGTTTTGCTGGCTCTTTCGTGGCCATCAGGTCTCAAGACTCGTTTTTGCCCGCTAAGCTCTTTTGTACTGCTTCCTCTTGGCTCTTTACATCGCTTCATTTGGCTTCGTTGCCTTTTAGTTTGGCTTTTTGGCTCTGAGGCCGGTTATTTGGTCTCGACTTTCTGCCACTTCATTTGAACTTTTTGGGGCCCAAAGAAACCAGTTGATGCAGAACCGTTGCAGAACATGTTCGCCGCTGTTCCCCGAACTAAAGTACGTCCAAATGTTAAAAAGTTTGTGATAGAGATCCCTAGAAATCCTTAAAATGTTGTTAGTTTATAGGGGTGTCTAGAAAAAGTGACAAAAGACGAGTCCGAGATCTTTAAATGGTTTTAATTTTCTATCAAAATGTTATTTAGACAAGTCAAGATATGTGTCTATCAAAAATTAAAATGAATAAATATTGTTTTGTTCCTAAATATATATTATATAATATTTTATGTCATTGATATAATATATATTGAAGTCTAAGACTGTCTCAGATATTATACATTGAGTGATCTATGGGCTTAGCATTTCTTGAAGCTGTCACACCTCAAGAAACTTTCATAAAAGAGAATGAAGATCCTGAAATGTCATTTAAAATGTTCGTTATAATATATAGAAAACTTTCCAATAACAACGAACCTTCTTCACCTTCACAAGTTCCGATGGCCCCGTCAGATTTACTGAAAATCAATTTGAAAGCTGCTGCCAGTCAATTATAAAGTGCTCTAAATTAATTATTATAAATCTATAAAAATGATAATGTGGCAGTATCTTATCTGCATCACATAGGAGCAACAACAAAAACAAATTGCAAATCTTTGTTGTGCGCATATTTATTTCTAAACAAATCAAAACCAAGTGAAAGCCCAAAGTCGTGACTGAAACTACACAAGGAGGGGGAACACCCTTGGGAATTATTTTCTTACCTGCCTGATTGTTTTTCTTTACGATCTCCGACTAACAAACAAGCCATAAACATTAATTACTGATATGTGTGTATATATATAGCGACTGAATGGGTCTTATCCGAAGTGCTACTGTTTTTCAAGACGCCATACAAGTGGCATGCAATGATTTGTGGCAAACATTGTAAAGATAACAGCTTGATTCTGGTTGTTTAATTTATGTTTATAAATCTATCTTTAAGGAAGTTTAACTTTTACCAGTGATCAAGTGAATCAGAATATAAATAACTTCTGAGAAAAGCTTAAACAAATTCAAAATGAATGCAATATTGATAAAGTCAACGTTATAAAGATTTCTTCTTAATAAAAAGTAAATAACTAAGAAACTCATTATAGTATAGTTTACTATATATATCCAATTGTTTACTATGACCATAAATATTGACTAGCATTTAGTTGAATTGACTTTTAAACAAATGTGTTTTTGTAAGGTGTAAACTTTGCCCATTTGGAGCTGCTTTCATAACTCCCAATTTAACGACAGAAGCGCTTATACATTTGACACACTTTTTCGCAGTTGTTTATAAATATATATTTATATATTGTATATAAATAAAAGCAGCACGAAAAGGTTGCATTATTCGATAGAATTGAACGTAAGCAATTTGTCACTGTTTTTTATATTTTATTATATTTACTACCCATTCCCGATCTCGAAAAGGCCAAAACTTGATACTAGCCCGGTGTCTCCATATACATATAGATATATATATGATATATAATAATATATCCCATTTGCTCGCTCTCCGCGCTCTGAGCAAACTCACGACTTGAGTTGAGTTAATTTGAGCGAACGGCAAATGAATAAATTTTCGCTTGGGGGACCAATAAAAAACGGTTGGACTGAGTCCGCTGGCAGTTGGCTTTTAAGCACACAGCGGGAAAGTCGGTCAGAGTCGGAGTGGTGTTACCACCCCCACAACACAGCATCTCAGATATATATTCCTTAAAAAAGAGCAACGAACGATAAAGATTCTGAATCAGATTCGATCAACAAAACTGGGCCGAGCACGTGCCCAAGTGGCGTATACTTGATATTGCGCATACGACACCTGCGACTTGCTTTTCCGCGCGTGTGTTTCTATCTCTTTTTGCTTGTGAACCCAAGAAAATCTAAATCCAAATTAATTGATTGAAAGTGAGAGCTACGAAAACTACATGAAGATGTGCGAATTGATTGTCAGTCATGGACTGGACCGCGAGGTAATAATCATTGGTGAAGGCACGAACGAACACATGATTCATGTGATTTCCCAGCTGTTCAATATATCTGGGCTCTAAACAATATATTTGGTTATTAACTTTACGCTCAACAGTGAGCACAGCTTGGAGACCGTGTTTTAAAGTGCTCAGTAAATATACAAATATATATATTTATAAATCTGTCATTGACGCTTGACTTTGGCTGAGACAGACTCCTCTCTGCTCCGATCTGCGATTTAAAATTGACCCTCGTTGGAGTGCGTTAAAAAAACTGTCTGTTTAATTTGTTTGTGTGTCTGGCGAAATTGCGTTCTGTTTTTTAATTGTTGCTCGCAATCCGCAAATTGCAGTCACGCCTCAATTACGGGACTCTTTTGTTGTCATTTCGTTTGTCGCAAAATGGGAAAAATATGTGTGCTGTCTGGCTTTTAAATGCCTTTCCGATCTATTTCACTGACCCACATCGTATGGCATTCGTGACCTTCCGAGCAGCTCAAATGATGTGGAATATATCTTTATCATAGATTTTATATCAAACTAATTGCAAGCGAGGTCGGTCTTCGTTCAAGTCTAATTCATAATTGATTTAAATCGCACTATATAACGCCACTCGATGGCGAATCAAAGTCAAGGCACTCTCGGCGGTTCTTCAACTCGAGGGTTTCACCACCAAAAGTTAATCAATCATTGCGATGATCAAGATTTAATCAGGCCCCCAACTGCGACGCCAAAATACAAATATATTTTACAGTAAGAAAATAACGTTGCATATTTTCCAAATTAATTTCGTGATATAAAGGCTGTTGTAGTGTTTTATCTAGACTTGCTAATCTTCAAATCACGATTGGGAAGAATCGAACGATGCTCTGCCTTGACTTTTGCTTGATTTAAGGAATGTGAAGTGATCTCATGCATTCGATTGAGTTCCAGGTGTTGTGTGGGTGTTGTCCAATGTCCCAAAAGTTATGCAAAATCAGTACTGGAACTCCCTTCTCACGAGATATATGCGAAACGTATGCAAATCTTTTCACTGGGATTGAGTTTATTTTCGTTATTAATGCGTGTTGAAGCAACTCGGTGACAATTAGCACAATCATTGACGTCACTGCAGAAATGTTCACACGCTGTCAATGCCAAACAGTTAACTCACAAAATATAATAATGATAATAATAAATAATGAGGAAAAAACAAAGTCCGAACTGGGTGAGCACCCACGAATTAGTCAGAAAGCCAAAATGAATTTCACATGAAGGTGTAGCTTCTAGTTCTTTGCTTGGTTTTTGGTTTGATCAAAAACAGAGATTTTTGCTTTAGATTAGATTGTATTGAAATTAAATGCGAATGAGACACAAATACGCACTGGTTGGCCATGACTATGCTTAGTTCTTTGGAGGAGCCTCAATCAAACGGTTGTCCATCATGGGATTACACGAAAAACTAAGAAAATTGCACTATACACATCAACATCACAGGGATCCAAGGAGAAGAAGTTGTCCGGTGAGAGAAGAATGGTTTCTGGGAATGGAAAAGTGTACTAGGTCACTGCTCTTTGGACTTCTTTATTTGTTTGCCTCTTTAGAAAGATTAAAATGTGAAAAGTTCCCCAACAAAAAAACGATCCAAGCAAGCCATGAATTTAAATTTCCTTTGTCGTTCACGTGCCGGTCCTGCTTTTGATTCATACCGTTTAGTCCCAGAGTCCGAGTGTTAAAATTTGTATTTACTAACCCAGAGCGGGTTTTGTGTTTTGACAATATTATTTTTCTTTTTTTGTAACTTGCCATAGCCCCCCTCACGAGAAGCATCCATACGCGTGCGTAGTGTACGGTCCGTCGAATAATCCATAAATTTGAGTGCTTCGCTTTTAGAAATTATTGTGTCCAAATTGAGCGTGTTTTACAATCGTCGCGATGAGTTGCCATCCGTTAAATTTGGGCAAGATTGCCCAGAGTAGCGCCAAGATTTACATCTGCCCAATGCCCTCGACCATCAGGTGTTTCTACCACAGCACGAGCACCACAGCCACTCAGGTGAAGGTAGCCCCAAAGGGTACAGTCAAGGCCTCGGAGAAGCCGCGCAAAGTGATTGGCGTCAAGAAGACGATGGTGAATCAAATGCAGGGCATGGTCCATAGCCCAGATGCCCCCAAGGAGCAGCCCTACAAGATCTATGGAAAGACACGGATGTTCTCCTCGACAAGCAGCCTGCAGAGCCAGTCGGGCAGTTCGATTTCCCGCCGCTGGATGAGCAGCGGGTTGAAGAAAAAGAAGCAGCAGCAGCAATGGGATGAGGATTCCAAGCCGGAAGCCATCTCCCGCAGCAGCCGGACCAATCTGTCGGCCACCCAGCGGCGGTACAATCAATCGATGTGCTTCGGCCGAGGCTTGGCCACGCAGGCGGCCAGGGAAATAAGCCGATCCATCCAGGAGGAGCTGATGGTGGTGGATGCTGAGACGCGTGATATGATCAATTGTAATCCAGGTCGTCAAGAGAAACGTGACCAAGGACAAGGCACATTTGATCCAATGCAGGGCTGGAACCATCCAAGACCCTACAAGCCCATTACAGGTGTATCTGAGATTCTGCCAGAGGTCTTGGATGCTCGTCAAAATAGACCACGTCGGCGGCAGTTGGTCGTGGACCATGCCAATCATGCGGCAAATGTTGCCGCTCGCAGTCGCGAGTCCCTGGCCAAGACACAACGTCCACAACACCTCAATCCCAAGGCCAAGATTGGCCAGCTGTCAAGCATGTACTCTTTCAATGTCCAAGAAAGAGTCTCGGATCCACGTCCCACACCGAGTTGTTTTCTGCCCCAGTCAGTCGACGAAAAGGACTCTGATGATAGTCTAATGGATGTGTCCATAGCCAGGGGCATGCGTACTGATTTCACAAAGGGCCGTGGCATTTCCAAAACGGAGGAAACCGAAGAGGAGCCCAATTCGCTGTACGAGCAGCCCCTTGCCGAAAGGGAGTTCCTGAAGCGGGCTTTTCTGGGTGGAACTGGAGGATCCCGGCATGCTAGTCAGTCGCGCATGGATGAGCTCCACTACGAGTCCTCCGCTGGTGTTGGAAGCAACGAAGCACTGATGAGTGCCTCGCGCCAAGTGATCAACCAGAAATTCGCCGGTTTCCAGCAATTGACGGGAACTCAGAGATGGAGGGCCCCGCATTTGGTGGCGTCGGTGAATCCGACACCTCAGCTTACCTCCCGGGCTGTGGGTGAGGCACGCGGAAGTGTGTTGAAGCAGGGCAAGAGGCGTTTTGCAGTGCGGTCCAGTGCCGAACGGGTGCCCACACCCAATTTCTATGGGGGATTTGGGGAAGTGGACAAGTCGACCCCGAAGGAGACTGAGGATCGCAACAGGGTTGACGATTGCGACGAAAGTACGGGTGAGTCCTGGAACCGGCAGCAGGAGCAAGAGGGACCCAAAGATGTCAAGTCCTCCGAAGCTATCAGGCAGAGTCGCGTGATGGCCAGTGGACCGCCTCGCCATCGCTCGATGTACGAGATGTCCACACAGGACAAGGAATTTGAAGGCCAACAGCTTGAGATGAAGATGCGGAACAGGAATGCCTCCGTAGTTGGACGCATGACCACCACCAAGGGTGAGAAGCGGGACCTCAGGCTGACCAAGAAGCAGGACTATGAACCCGAGAACGACATCAAAATGCCATTGGTGTACGAGAAGCAGTCGGCTGTCCAGCGTCTTAGCCCGACCATTCCCGCCCAGCATGGTACTAGGGCACACAATAGCTACTAACGAGCCACGGTGACCTCATCCCGGGATCTGAAAAGGTGCCTTTCCCTCGGGTTCCTACACTGCACTGCACCCATACCCAATCCGAACCAAGTGTATGGAGAGTCTTCTCATATTTTGGGCTGACAAAATCTATAGAAGTGATTTAAATCAAGGCCAGATCACAACTGGATACTTCCTTTCGCCAACCAAATGTGATGTATTTGCTAAATAACAGAGTATATGAAATTAAATTATTTTACGGCTGCGTTCGAAAATGTTGAATCGTATTTAATAGGGGTTAGGGGATTGTCTTCTTCGTGCATTGATTTCAAAATCTTCCTCGATCCCTAATGAATCCTGAAACTGAAACCCTAATGAATCATGGAACATCTTCTCAGCATTGTAATATAACATCTTTCCGCTATCTAAGTGTCGTTATTCTATCATTTTTGTTCACTCCGCTAGTGTGCCGATGCCAAGCGAGCTCTTTTCATTTGTAGTTTGAGTTGAAAACCAAATGTCAAGGGATCCCACAGAACCAAAAACCCAATATATATTGACACTGTAAACTAGCACTGCACACTGCAAATATATAAACGTTCAAATGAATAAAAACCCAGAAGCACCAGCACTCGAATGTATAAGCTAAAACCCAGTCAACCACGTAAACAAACTCCCAAGAACAAAAAGAAAGAAACGTATTTAAATATATCTTTGACATGTATTTTGAGTTGTATTTGGAATTTTTGATATTGATATATTTTAAGTTACCGATTAGCTTTTGTTTTATGGTTACTACTAACCATTGGAAATTGTTCCTATTTAACTAATACCTTGAAATCTCATCAATCGTTCTCCAGGTGCTGTCCATGAGCACAGATGAATATCGCAAGACCTCACTCTTTGCCACCGGTTCCTTTGACCTGGACTTCCCCATACCAGATCTGATTGGCAAGACAGAAATCCTCACAGAGGAGCATCGGTAAGCAACTACTACTACTGCTTCTACTTTTTAAAGTAAATTATTTCAAAATTGTTTCAAAACTATGACTTGGAGTCTGAATATTTAATACTTTTAATGTCCATTGAGCCGCCATTGCCCAGGAGTATTGTCTTGGAACCCTTTTTATGGAATTATAACTCACATTTAATGCCTTTTCGACTTGCAGCGAGAAGCTCTGCACACATCTGCCAGCTAGAGCCGAGGGCTACTCCTGGTCCCTCATCTTCAGCACATCGCAACATGGTTTCGCACTGAACTCCCTCTACCGCAAAATGGCGCGTCTGGAGAGTCCAGTTCTGATTGTCATCGAGGATACAGAGCACAATGTAAGTTGACTTTTGACTGAAATTATTTCTCTGACTCACTTGCCCGTCATTAAATTTATTTTTATGGTTAAAAAAAGGTTTATATTTTGTTTTGATTGTCTCGAAATGTTAATTAGACAAATACTTCTTCAATACCAGTTTAATAAGTGAATAAACAACATTCTAAAGTTCAACCAAGTGCAGTAATAACAAAATTTGATAACGAACTGCGAGAAATTTACACTCACATATGCTTAAATAATTACTTTGAGTTAGTGAAAGGCAGTTAACAAGCCCTGCGAGAGATGATTTTAAATATATGTGAGATAAAACCAACAAAAAAGATACAATAAATAACAATTCTCTGAAATTCTATCGTTATTATCAATATTTTGATCTTATAATTGACTATTAAGTGTGGTGTTTTTGTCTATAAATCCCTATTAGGTTTTCACATTTACCTTTTCCCCAGTTATTAATTATTAATCACTCTATTATTTATTGATATTTTCAGGTATTCGGTGCTTTGACCTCTTGCTCGCTGCATGTGTCGGATCACTTTTACGGCACTGGCGAGTCCCTGCTCTACAAGTTTAACCCCAGCTTCAAAGTGTTCCATTGGACTGGCGAGAACATGTACTTCATCAAAGGCAACATGGAGAGCCTTTCGATTGGCGCCGGAGAGTAAGTTGAATAAATGAAATTTGTATCAATTGTTTTACTAAATTCGTATTTGGATTTTCAGTGGTCGCTTCGGTCTGTGGCTGGACGGTGACCTGAACCAGGGACGGTCGCAGCATTGCAGCACATATGGCAACGAGCCACTGGCGCCACAAGAAGACTTTGTTATCAAAACACTCGAATGCTGGGCATTTGTTTAAGTGAATTTCTGTTGTCAACAACAAAAGCATATTTAAGGAGGGGAGCGAGCCACTCCCTTACACCTACCTATTTAAATAATTATATGTACTTGTACTAAAAGAAAACCAACAAAACAACCTGAGAACGATGTCAAAAGCTGATCCGCCAGAACAGTCCCACAACCACAACCACAACCAAAAACACACACTTACAAATGGAGCAGGCGACCCTGATCCGGTCTGATGGAAATGCATGTTCTTGGAAGCTAGATGCTGCGTTGGAACGTATTAATTATTTAGTTTTTATATTACATACTATTAAACAAAGAGCAACTAAATTATGTGTTAGAATTAAACAAAAAACAAATAACAAAAGGATAAACGTGAGAAAACCAACCCAAAAGACAGACAAACGACACGGAAATTAAAGCGAAAACAATTGAGGATAGCATTAGCTGCACACACCCATCCATTCAGAGGTCATCATCACACATCTCCATGCATTGTAGCACCACAAACTCCACACGCCACACAAACACACATTTAATTTAAGTTCTTATTATCGAAAATTATAATCATTAAATTGTGAGAAGCAACATACATATATAGAGAGATGCGAGCTTGCAGTCTTTGATCTACATCGCGTTTAGTTCTCTTGATTGATTTCAGTTTGAATTTAATTTAATTTGTTCGAGTGTGCGGATAAGCGAGCCCAGAAGTTGAGAATGAGAGGAAAAAAGAAGTAATAAAAATAAAAAGAATGTCGATATAATTTTTAGTGCAAAAGTGTAAGCATTTCAATGCTAATTGCAAGTGAAACTGAAAGCGAGGAAAACCCTTAAACGATTTGACTTTTATATACATGTAGAGGAGGAGCCGACGAAAGGAGCTGCTGAGAGCGAGCGTTATATTTTTTAGTTGTACACCGATATACATATATTTAATTACGATTATTTTAATGCTAATGATGTTGACTTTTATGCAATTATACTAAAAAAAAAACAGAAACAACACCAGAATGAAATACATAATATTATACAACAAAACTGGCCAAAGCAGAGGTTTTACTTCACCCCAAAAAGACCCATTTATTCGCTTGTAACTACACACATACATATATTGTGCCGCCCGCCCCCATAGGTGTGCTATAATTTTTTTAATTAGAAAGGGTCCCAGAGCCGTCAAGATTTGTAGATAAGTAAGTTTTCCCAACAGATATATCCGGTCACTCACACCCTTACACACGTGTATACACTATATTTCCGCAGCAGGATCAGAGCATCGGGGGGGAAGTGCTGCTGCTGTTGAAAGTGGTTCTGAGGAGATCGAGATCAAACCAAACAAACTTAAATGGCTTTATATCCCTTTTGAGATACAATTTCAGTATAATTATAAATAAATTATATACATACATACATATAATATATATATATAAATGTACAATGGTAGAAACGAATCTAGGTAAATGTAAGTGTAATTTTTGTAGTGAATTTGCGCCCCCATCCGAACTTTCCTTCAGTCGATGTGTGTGATTGTAAACGTTGTAACAACCTCCTCTAAATATTAGAAGAAAACCAAAAAATAAGAAACACACACACACACACAAGACGCGCTGGATGATAAATGTATTTGAAAGAACAAACGAAACAAAATTGCTGATATTTTACACAGAACAGAGTTCGAAACTAACAAACAAAAACAAAAAAATATAAAGTATATAGAACATTTCATTTCATCGGAGTAAAAGTTTATACTGATTTAAAAGGATGAACAAAAAATAACAAAATAACTCATAAAGCCAACGCACACGAAACAAGAAAACAATTGTGAAATCGATGAATATTGAGTAACTGTAAAGATAATCCCAAGCCGTAACCCAGAGAATCCTCTTTAGCACGCAACAATTTAGAGAAATTTAGAGCTGATACTTTGCACGCACCGCCCCTTAGTCCCAAGACAAAAAAAAAAGAATTAAGATATATGGAAATATACATATGAAAAATGAAGTAAATGGTGAACTATATTGGAGACTCACGACAGATGTTTTTAGATGTTATTTAAACGATCTTGACAGACAATTTTTGTGTAGTTGTGTGTAAGTTGATATGCATGCCCAACCACACACCCAAAGTATAATTAATCAAAGGCAATATAACAATAAGATGCCTAACGCCCTAATGATATACAAATACATATGTCCAGGGAAGAAATTCAAGCCATCTCGCTTGAAGGCTTAGAAATATAAAACTCTAAAAAATCGTATGACATTAAGCATCTTATTATTATACAGTCTTTGATATAATATATTAACTCCCCCACTCAACAACACACATTAAACCCAAATGAGAATCAAGTTGAAATTCCTGTTGTTGTATTGTGAAAACGGAAGACTTTCTTTTTAGGACTTTAGAGAGACAGGCTTGTTTACTGAGCAAAAAAAGAAAATTATGATAACCACTAACTGAGAGAGATCGATTAGCTTAACTCACTCCAACTATGCGCGAACTTCATTTAATAAAAAATCTTGAGACCAAAATGCGTTTACTAAGAGGTATTAACTTCATACCAGAATACCAACAGACCCGCAATGAGGCTTTCGTTCTAGGCCGAGCAGAATATCATTAAATATTAATATATGTATACCGAAAATTAGTTCGTTGACAAACCAGTCAATTATGTCTCTCACTCGATGCAACACAGCTCCACAGACAGACTCACGGAAAACCCCAAAATGAAAAACACAAGCTGAAAGCATAATGGATTATACATACATATATATGAAAATCTAGGTATATTCATTTTGTAGCCTATGGGAACTAATATGTTGTTAAATTCGTAGATATTTTGTTATGCGTTGAACAGAAATGAAATAAAAAAAAAGAGAAAAGAAAAACATGCGAAATGAATGAGGATAATTTTAAATTGTAACTTCTGTCAATTACATTGTAGACTGGTGCCATTATACCAAGCGATAACTGAATAACAAATGCCGCATGTAATGTTCTTGTTGTCGTTGCAGCAGCAGTTAGGACCATCAATGCATGATTATATTGATAATATTGATGCTGCGCTACCCCTGAGTTTGTGTTGTGCGTTCAGTATAAGTGCTTAGTATCTGTGTAATATGTATATGCCGCATCCGACGCGGCCAGTTACTTAGTGTGGAGTTATCCCCCATCCGACATGGCCTGCACCCATCGGCCAGTGCTTTGCCACATTTTACCCATGTTGAGTAGTTTGCAAGCGTTTCTACTAGTTGTTGTGCACCGAAAATTAAGCAAATGTAATTCGCACAATTCGGATAGGATATGCAGGCATTTGTGCCGGAGCTAGATGCGCCAGATATACAAAATATACATACATATATGTACTTACTTATCTAGGGACACATCGATTTGTTCGATTATTTGGAGCCCTTTGGATCTCCCGCTTGTTTTTGCGTTTCACCCTTATATGTAGAATGCTGAGATCGTAGAGAACAGAACGATTGTATAAAATCCACTTAGACGGAGCACACCTCAATCTATATCCATGCCACATATAGCTAATGTAAAGGGATGGGACGAGCAGGGAGAGGGGATTTTACAAAGGACGTAGAGAGGGGAGAGATAGGGAGTGCATGCAGCAGGTGTTTATTTTTCTACCAGCAGATTGAAGCAGTGAAAATAGTTGGGAGTACTCGACGAGAGCAACAGCCATTACCTAAATCAGTCGTGTGTGTATATACGAGATGCATATATCTACCTACATACAATATATATATATATATAATATATATTTTTGGAAAGCGAATCAAGTATCTAGATGAAATCGGCTAGGAGTATCCAAACCGAGGCCAAGTACTACGCATATTTGCAAGCGATATTGATCAGTGTAATTGTTGAAAACCAATCGAGATTTTTGAACGTTTGCCTTGGTTGTTCGATTCGATTCGGTTCGATTTGATTTGAATGGAATGCATTCGTTGTTTTTCATTTACTCTAAATATTATATAGATATCGGATTAATGATTAATTCATGTGTGCAACTTGTATCGTACCTATAATATTGCATTCCAAGAAAAGCGAAACAAATGAAACATACAGAAAGACACGTGAGCAGAGCGGCAGGAGAATATATATATATACATACATGCATATATATAAATATATACTATATGTAAATGTAAAGTCATTACAAAAATGAACAACTTTTCTGAAAAATAAAATGTATATTCAAATATCAAACAATGTTTTCTTTATGTGGGATCAAAAACCATGCAGCTGGAAAGAGAGGTACTTTTATAAAAACTTGTAATACAATTTTGTTAATTCTTACCCTGCTGCCTTCTGAGCTCCATTTAAAGCATCAGACGCACAGAAAGACGGAACAGAAAGAATTCACTTTAATAGTATTGTTATATTACTGCCTAAAAGTATGCAAGCATTAAGCACCGGAAGTTGCCATTTTTTACGGTCTAATAAGATTTCCTGTGGCCCGCCGATGAAGATTTCCAGTTTGTTGCTGCCTGTGAAGTTTTAAAGCTGCCTTGCTTTTCTCTTTGGAATCTCCACATTGAACATGCTTCACTTTTTGAACTCTAGAACACATTAGTCGCTGATTTATGAATAAGGCTGCCTGCGACATCATCACCGCTTATATTTTCAAAATATATGTTTTTTCAAGCTTTTTCTTTCTTTTCTTTTCTTTTTCTTTTAAATTAATCTCCAAAATAGTTCCGTGTAACTTTTAAACAATAGACAATATTAAAACTGATTTTATATACTATATCTTTCAGGAACCTTGACTGGATTGAAAACCTTCACAACTTTTTAATATAATAAAAAATTATGAAAAGAAATGCAGACACATTGTTATTTGCTCAGGCTTTCTTTTAATAGAAAAATATACATATATATAGATATGCCATAAATATACATACTTTATAATTTAGAGATAACAAGGAAACAGATTTCCGATAGACATGTGTATATATTTTCGCTTGTTTTCAGATGTAAACGATATCAAAATGTGTGTTTCTAACTAGATGCATGAGAGTCTACAAATTGAGTGGTGTGCCAGCTGCCGCTGGCTTGTTAAATAATTTTGAGATAGAATACAATGAGGGTCGCGACTACTGTTGCTATGATTATGGAAGCAGGATCGATCACTGCTCGTTAGGTATAATACTTTGGCAGCCAAAAGAACTAAGAATGAGCTAGGCAAAGGGTCCTGACAAAGATGCAACAAACTAAAAATTAATAAACAATCAACTCGGACGCTGACAAGGCAGTAAGCTAGGGGTTAATGCGAGAATAACTAAGGATACGACTTAGAGAATACAACTAGAAGGCTTAGCGACTAAAGGAGCTTTGATTCACTTTGCGATTTCGGCTCGGGCCGTTTGTGGCCCCGACCGCGGTATAAATTATTTTTAACTAGCTTTTTACATGTGTGTTTGTTTGGTTGGAAGTAATTTACACTATTTGGTTGCCCTTCCGCTGCGCTGCCAGCAAGGGTTACGTGCATATTTCACTGCTGGCGGCGCAGGAATTGCTCGACACATTTGCATTTAGGGCTCCCGTGCCCGTTGACATGCTGGCCGGCAGACTGGATGAAGGGGTGGTGGCTGCTGCTGCTGCTGTTGTGGTTGTTGTGGGCGGGGTGGTGGTGGAGTCGGGCTCAGCCTGCTGGGCTTGCGCCTGAGCCGCCACATTGTTCGTCTTGCTATTCTCCAGCTTCGCCCGATTCAGGGCTTCCTCGCGCTCCTTCGCATCAAAGTACCAGACGGTGATGGCATAGCGGGTGCGATGAGCGGGCTGAACTTCGTGCGGGTTGCGGATGTCCGACCAGAAGAATATCAGCCGGTCGAATTTCGGTTCAATATCCGCCACTGTAGTTCCAGGCGTGGGTCGAATGCTGTTCGTAAACCCAATTTTAATACATTTTCTTAGAGCGAATCACTAAAGATAACCTACCGGAGTATGCCTCCACTTTCCCGAGCATCCCAGTTAATGTTCAGGTAGTAGATGGCCGTAATGACGCGCCCATCCTTTTTGGGATTGTCCACATGCATGACATAGTGTGTACCCGATCCAGGGTAGCAGGCAACCATAGCCTAAAAATAGATTAATGTAAGTTAAGCTTATCGAGTTAGATTTCCCCTGTCATATGCTTACCCTCGTGCGTTCCCTAATGTGATAGTTGCCTAGAATGCCATTGTCCTTCATTGTGTTGACCCGATACACCACAGAGTCAATCTGGAAATGTTATAGGAAATAATTATATTTAATTAAGATAAGTTTAAATTAAGTTAAAGAAGAACATACCTGATTGGTCAGATACCACACATTGCTGCAGCCCGGCTCATTGCCTCCAACCCATTTGATTTTGTCCCCGCGAATCTTGTCGCCTCGCACCGCCGATGAGGGGACATCCGGCGTCTGATTCTGCACCAGCTGACCGTCTTGGAAGGCACCGGCGTTGTACATGCTCCGAACCTCATTGAGGATTTTCAGACCAGTCTCCATGCCCAGAAAGTCGTCCACCACAGACAGTCCATACTGGTTCATATCGCTGATAATGTTTCTACACAAATCCTCATAGCGTCGTTCGCTGCACCAAAGAACATTGATCAGAATAAAAGATTCAATCATTTAATCAAGAGACAGAGCGAAATATATACAGAGAGCGACCTTTCAAGGCCGTCAATCTTAAATCGATGTAGAGATTCTGCCTACACTATATCATGTGGATGAGGTCACCTTGGGGGAACCCCTGCATTCTTGAGATCAGACAGCAGCAGCGCTTTTCTCGCTAATTATAGCGAAAACGTTTCATTGCATTTAAGCCTTTTTTACGGGCCTTAGAGCAGAGCAGAGCAACACGTATTGCGATGCATACAATTTTACGAGTTTTTTATGATGCGACCATAAAACCAATATTTCTGTACAAGTCGCTGGGACCCAGTCACGTAGGCCCCCCAGAACAGAGCGGACCAGAACTGGCCAACTCACACCGATCGGGCCAGACGTTCGCACAGTTCTGGATAAGCAAGGCAAAGCTATAATACATCTCAAAAAATAAATAAATACAACACAGAGATGAAACATTTTCGCACAAGTTCACAAAAGCTATTAAGATCAGAATCTGAAAATTATTGTCTCAACAATGAATTACCGAAACGTTTGGCATGTTTGATTGAAATCAAATCTCCCCGTAATGCCAAAGGGGAAACGAAGACATCTAGGCCTGGGCTAGGCCATGGAGCGTCTTTCTCGAGTTATCCAGTTTTGTATTGCCAACATGTTAATGTAGAGATACAAATTCACAGATCGCCCAGAGATTGAGATACAAGCAAGACGGCATTGAAGATCACTGATAGAAACCGTTAACCGGTTTTATATATTTTGGCATTAATAATTAACAGCGTAGATATAATCAGTGCACAAATCGGCCAATAGAAAATACTATAATCTGTGCAGAATTGAAGAAGTTTTTGTCTGATAATTATTTTTAGGCTGTTTCTTTTCTATCATCATTCAACATATATTTAATTTTGGTTCACGCATTTTTTGTACTCTTGCAGGGTATAATAATTTTAGTCGGCAGCATGTAACGTAGTGAAGGAATTATTTCCGACCCTATAAATTATATTTATTCTTGATCAGAATCAAAAGCCAAGTCGATCTAGCCATGTCCGGTAGGAAAATAATAATTGAAAACTGCAAGGAAGCTTGTTCCTTTCATGTTTAACTCTCTCATCGTAACATAAAAGGTATTATAATATTTAAGGACCTATAGCTATACTTTAAAGCATTTGCTAGTTTGTTTTGACTTTCTCATGGAAAAAATGAAGATGGATCTATCCTAAATTTTTTTTAATCTTTTAACATATTTAGGGATGTTAAAATAAAGTCATTCATCTTCACAATTCCCTTTTTATTATCTTCACTTTACAATTATTAATGACTCTCTGAATCGCTATAATTACTCCTGATCCTTAAAGCATTTTGCCCTGATTGGTTTTAAATATAGGGACTCTAATGTCAGGATTCATATTGCTTATTTACCGCTTGTCCAGGAGTTCCCGAAAATACTGCTCGGCATTGGCAGGATGTGCCGAATGCTTAAAAAAGTTATTGTAGTCTGTTGTCGTGGAGGTAATCATTTTGGCTTGATTAGTCAGTTTAAATCTCAATCACTGTACTTGGCATGTACTTTATTGGCACTTGACAATGTCTAGTGTCCTTTTTTTTTGTTATCCAGTAATAGTTGGTTCTTTATTGGAGAAGAAGGGTTCTTTGAGCGACTTCTCTATCAATTCACACACAACTGAAGAAAGTTTCGAAACGCCGGCGAGTTTTATGCGATTGTGAACTACGATTGTTGGAGGGAGAGCCCGGCGGAGAACGAGCGAGAGGGAGACACACACCTTCTGCTACATACATATATTGAGTATCGCGGTGTAGGGCGGCGCGCAGTTGCACTAGTGTTTGTAGGTATGAGGTATGAATAGATTGCATTTGTTGTGGCCGTTGGCCAGCTGCTAATATTGTTTCTGTACACCTTTTGATTTCCTTCACTGGCAGATGTTTGTTTTGATTTGCGTGTGTTTCTGCACCGTTAGTCACGTTTGTTTATCGTTCTGGCTGCGATTAAGTAAGTGCAGGTGTAAATGTGGAGCTGCTGACACGAACCGCGCTCGTCAACGTTCGTTTTCCGAATGCGGGGTCGCTCTCTACCGTTGCCCCACGCACCAGCGATATAGTGCCAGTGCTGACATTTTAGCTATTTTATCACCATCAGGCCAATTTTCAATTATAAGAAAATCCTATTTTAATCCCGGCCAACAGTAGTAAGAGACATTTTAATTTTAAATAGTATCCTTAATAATATCTATAATACAGACATAATTCTCAAAGAAAAAATCCATAACTAAATCCCCCCTTTTTAAACATTTATTTTAGCTTGGCTTCTTCATTTCTCTATAATTGGCTCTCAAGTTCCGGCATCACTACTGTGAGTATTTCTCTCTTTCTCAATTTCTATGAGAGAATCGGGGGAGATAGAGAAGAAGCAGCCGCTTAAGGCGATAAGCAGCTAAGTGTGAGTAAATAGTAAAAAAGAAAAGGCAAAAAGAAATTGAAAACGCTGCAACTGATAAGAATCAAAGCGAAATGGACGTGCAAATTGGGGGGACAACGGCAATCGCTGATGTGAACAGTGACAGGCGTCGCGATTATTCCTTATCAGATTAAATTTGCAAGCTTCTAGCGAGTCAGAGGAAGATACTCCTTCCGCTTGCCCTTCAAAATTAGAGCAAACACGGCGCAAACACAAAGCAAATGCAAACAGAAAACCAAAAATAGGAGGAAAAGCAGCGAAAAGTCAGAAAAGACAAGCGCAACAATCGTCACGTAGCCCAGCACGCACACAATCACAGGCCTAGCACACGCACATGCCAACGCGCTCCCGCACACAAACACCCAGGCAGAAAACCACACGCACACCCGTCAATGCGGTAGAGCGTTAGAAAGAGACCAATGCCAGCAAAGGGAATGCAAGGGGGAGCGAGATATCATAGTTTGTTTGATACAAAATATCTGGTGAGAAAAAAGCTTTGCGAATACCAAGCCCCAAGATGAGCTAGAGAACATCGGATCCATGCGGAAGCTTTGCGAATGTACGGGCAACACAATTGGGTCAATGGCCCAGTTCAAAGTCGGAGCAACAAACGTTTAAATACTCATACGCACAGCAGTACACACTGAGATACACTGCAAGGAACTTTGGTAACTACAAATTGATATACTATTCAAAATCAATAATTTAAAATTAAGCTATTTTTTTTAAAAACTTCCCTTAAACAATAAATAATAAAAAAGATGCGGTAGCAGGTCCGAGGAATTTTATATTTAGTTGATAGATACAATTTTATTTATTTTATTTCCATTTCATCAAATATGAATTTTGAAAAATCCCTTTCTATTTTTATTTTAATTATTTTCACTACTAATTTATTGTTTTTAGTGCATACCCTTTCTGTACTGTCGATGTGTGACTAACCTACACATGCACAATCCATTGTCTGTGTAATTTTATGATCGATTTTGGCCCTTCGTCTGTGATGTATTACGTGCGACGACTGCGGCTGCGGCACGTGTACCACAATCAGCCCTTTGCTGGAACTGGATGAGCGGGAGTAAAACGATGGGGTAGAGAGTGGGAGGAGAGACGGTGAAGGGGGCGCGGCAGTCACAAACGACCTTGATGACGTGCGTCTGCCTACGTAGCGCGTTTCTGCTTTGGTTTGCGTTTGCCACTAGCTTCGAGATCTATCATTGGATTCAATTTTGAAACCCACTTCCATTGCAGAATAAGAAAATTGTATTTAAAAGTCTAATAATTTGAATTGACAATGAATAGTTCCAAGGACCAGTAACCCAAGTACGCACGAGGAACTTTTGCATACCATATAGAAAAATTTATAAATACTTCGGAATAATCATTTGAGCTTAAAAATGTATACAGACTCATGTGAAGACCTTCATTTACCTTTAAAATATATAAAACCCCTTCTAAGGCTATTAGTATTTAATTTAAAAACCCTTTTCTATAAACTAACTTCTCTAACAACTTTGACGAATAGTCAAAGCCAACAGGTGTTTATTTATTTTTAAATTCTATAATGCCTGTTGAGAAAGGGATCGGACCTATTTCTGTATAACAAGTTTTATACCAATATTCTACCAGATAAGTGTAATCAAATAATTTTGTCATACAGTTTATACTATTTATAGATCAAATGCCGGCTATATGTGTAAAATTTCATAAATTATACACTTCCTTATAGGAAATACAAGCACAGGAAAACACATTTCAGGTGCATAACAAACAATTACTTACAATTACAATACTTAGGAGGCGCCCTTGGTGATTTTAATTTGAATTGATTGTAATGCCTTCTACCTTCTGGAATAGTCGAATATTTTGTAATATCAAAGTTTAAACTAAACAAAATTCCCATAGAAAGGTGTGGCTTGGTAACCAGAATGAATATATTCAAGGATTCGAGAGATCTGTCATGTAAAAGCATTCCTTTTCTATATACTATCTTAATCCATTATGAAAACTCACCAAACTTAATAAATGGTAAAAAGAAATTAAGAAGAATTGATTTACCTTTCTTATCAAATTTGTACAAATATGTTTGTTTTAACTATATTTATATGTCGGCACTTCGGAGATAAATACGTTTTACTGGCATTCATTGTTTAGCGAGTTTTGCGCAACAGTATTGTTTATATTTGGCGAATAGTGGTTGACATGCAAACCCACGAATTTAGCACATTTATAAACAATGTCGGAATTTTGCAAACCTCAGAAAATGAGATCACGTCGCGCTGACTGCTAATTGTTTGATAAAGAACAACAAAAATCTCGGGGGGCAGATTGAAATCTCAGTCGTTTGGCAATCGCTATAATGCTGATAACACGATTTTGGACGACACGCTTGCGTATTCCCGGCACGTACGCAAAACGCTCCGGACCACCCAGGCGAACGGACCACCCACCTCCCGTCGCCGGAGCACCCACTATAAGCGATAAGAAGGTCGTCGGGGAACCGGAAAACCACATTACACTAGCCTTAAAATTATTCCAGCGAAGGTAAATAAGGCGAGGGTTAGAGGTAAAACAAAATCAACTTGTATAGCAATTAAAAAAATCGAACTGGTTTAAGGAATAACGCATAGTTCTTTAACATTAAATAAAATCCCAATTTAGTAAATTACATCTTAGTAATATTACGACAATAACTTCTTTAGAACATTCAGCATTTACTGTGTCTACGAGTGTTATGATGATTCAGCCGGATTCGCTGGAAGTCATTACGGCCAACAATTGCGAAAGAATTACTATATTGTGCCCGATGAATATTTGTTGTTTCTGTTAATGCCGGGGTGTACAACAATAACAAGAAATACAAATAAATAAATAAGCTAGTATCAACAATTCGGACGCCAGCGAACTGCGCAACAGAATAATTACAAAGTCAGCGCCGTCTGTCCGGGAAATGCGACTGAGAGGGCGACTGCAGGTGCTAAAGCTATCGGATTCGCTGCTGGCGGCCGCCATATGCATTCGATTCCCGGGCACGTAATGCCAAAGGTAAACACTTGCCCGGAGAGGTGACATCTCGCACTGGGGGCAATCTAATCACAGTCTACAAGTGTTTACGTACATATGTGCATTTGTTTGGCGTAATTATAACAGACCAGAGAGAGAGTAGAGAACCGGGATAAACTTAGAAATTAAACATTGTTTGCTCAAGTACCTAGGTATACACCATACTATAAAGCATACTATACAAAGCCTCAAAATAATATTTACCTTTAATTTGATCGTATAGCTTAGCCACACAAATTTTACCAGGATCTTGCAATGGTAAGTTATATTTAGATATATTCTTTTGTACTCACACTAAGGCATTCTTTGAATTAACTTAATAATATATTAACTTTTTTCAATTTCAGAGGATTTAATAGAATTATCCAAATACAATATAGTCACAGTTTGGACTAGTTGGACAGTTTGGACATTTTTCTCCAAAATGATCAACAATTATTTAATCAATGGTTCATGATCAAAATTGTAAACTTGATTCCCTATACCATATGATACTTTTACGAGTCCGTGTAGTGTCATGTTTTATTTGGTTTCGTGTCATTTCAGCGGATTGGGCACGTAACAGCTTATCGCTAATTGCCTCGATATGCAGGTGAGGATACCTACGGGCGGGCCGGGGCCTGAAGCGATGAGAATGCACATAAAGTGGCCTAATCTCTGGGCCTACAAATTTCGATTTGTCGACAAGATTTTTTTAACAAATTGCCAATGTAATTTCAAGTAGGAATCGAAGTTATTCCTTTTTTAACAAGCTAATATATGTAGAATTATCGGGTTAAATGGATTTTGATCTTTATGTTTTAAGTAAACACAGTTTGCATTCATTTTCCTCTCACTATTCCCACCAATATCCTAATTTTGTCAAATTAGATCAGACCTAAGCTTCATAAGCTCACATAAAATACCTTTCAAACTCAAAAATCCATTCCATAAACGCATGTTTTTACACGTGATCGAAAAATAGCAGACAAGCGTCTACCAGCAATGGATTACAATCGTCAACCGTGTCCCATGAGGATCGTGGAGGATTGTGGATGCGCCTTTATGGTGGGCAGCCTTGGAGGCGGCCTGTTTCAGTTTGCCAAAGGCTTCCGAAATTCTCCGTCCGGCGTAATGCGCGGCTTATACGGCGGTTTGGATTCAATGAAAATGCGGACACCGGCCATTGCCGGCAGCTTCGCTGTTTGGGGCGCCACCTTCAGCATTGTGGACTGCGCCATGGTGTCACTTCGCCAGCGGGAGGACCCTTGGAATTCAATAGTGAGTGGAGCTGCCACGGGTGGGATATTGGCTGCTCGCAATGGGATGCGTGCTATGGCCAACAGTGCCTTTGTGGGCTGTATTGTTTTGGCCATGATCGAAGGGGCAGGTGCAGCAGTGGCCACCATCTATGCCGCCAATGATAATGCAACTATAACCATTGATCAAGAGCATCCGCAGCGAGCCCAATGGGAACCTGTCACTTACTCATCCGGTCAGGATTTAATTACGACCGGTTTCGAGCGTGTGCTGGAGAAATGTCGAAAATACAGAGACCGCAACATGACGATGTCGGGATCAGGAGAACTTTTACGATTGCAGGAGCCATCGCACTCGCTCCTAGATCTAGTCAAGCTGGCCGAGATTATTTAATACAGTGCCCTCAACTTTTGTTTCTATGGTCCCACTTATAAATTCCCAGCTTTCGTGTTGATCTTTAATAGTATGAATAATGATTTCGAATATATTGGGAAATTTTACTACCCATTTGAATATTATTAATAAATTACAATGCATAATTTTTAGACCTATACAAGATAGTATTCAAATTAATTATTTCATTAATTTAAAGAAAATGTCCTATAGCTTTCAAAAAATAAGCAGGCATTTGTCTATATTAGCATTTTTAGCGCAATAGATCTTAATTTGTGATACTTAAGAATTTATTCTACTATTATTACTATAACGTTTATTACTCACCTTCCTGATCCCATGAAGCTGGAGTCCGCAAATCCGATTTGATAGCTGGAGCTCTTTTCGCCCTGATGGTGATGATGGTGATGGTGTTGGTGCTGTTGCTGATGATGTTGCGGCATTTGGGCCGCTTCCGCTGTAGCCGCTGGGGCTTGTCCCGGCTGCCCGAGGAGATTCAACAGATTGTCCACCTCGACTGGCCAGCTCTGGGCCTGATGGGCGGGCGTCATCATCTGGGCGGTGGAACAGTTGGCGCCAGCGCCATTGCCATCCAAGTTAGCCGCTGCCACCGCTTGCTGTAGTTGCTGCAGCTGCTGTCTTTGCTGTTGGTGCTGCTGCGATTTGTTGTTATTGCCGGCGGCGGCCTTTTGGCGAGCCAGGAGTCGACACTCCGCCCGGTGGGTGGGCCAGTCCAGGTGCTGATGGGCGGGGGAACAGTAGTAGACGGCCTTGCATTTGGCGCAGCGCAACAGCTGCTGCTGGGTGCCGCAGATGGAACAGCGGGGTGTGTCCATGGCTGATTCCGTCTCAGAATCCCGCGCCCTGACCTTTCCGCGACCCCTGCTCATAGCATTTTGCGGGGAGAACCAGAGGCGACGACCGAACCGATTTTAACCTTGAGTGCTCCTTTCTTCTCGTTCCACCTACGCCCCGCACACACACGCGCTCTTGAGAGATTGTGGCTATCAATATTATATCGCGAATTACGGCGCGCAGCTCGTTTTAGCCACCATTTCACTGTTAGTTCACTTGCGCTTATTTTAATCACGTAGGCCAACTTTGCCAAATAAACAAAAAAAAAACACACACACAACGCACATACACAGACGCACGGGTAGCTATATGTGCGTTGTTGTTGGTTTCTTTGGCTATAACTCTTCGTTTGCTGCTTTCTTTGTGGCACTTTTCACGCCGAGCACCGTGCACTGGCTGGCCTTGGGTGTAATTATCGTTTTGTCACCAAAAATAAGCGAAAATATTGCAAAAACGGGAAAATACGAAGCACAAACTTTTTTATGTACTAGCGATGGGCGTCAACCGATAATTAGCTCAATGCAATTGCCCGTTGTCCAACACTCTTTGCCGGCTAGCAATCGATAAGTAAGCGGGATTTTTACTGGTGAGGTTTTTAAGTTTTAAAGTCCAAAGTTTAATTTTAAAATCGGTATTCCAGGATCTGGCTACAGTATAAAAAGCCAACTTTCATTATCTTTTAAATAAATATAATGCATTTTAAGTTCAATTAGATATCACAATTTGGCTTTATTTAATAAAAACACTTACTAGCTATTTTGCCTTTATTATCGATAGGCCAAATGCCATCTCTGTTATCAAATCATAAACAGATGCTGAGCCCTTCACAACTTTTAAATCCCGCGTGAAAACTTATTCCCACTGATAAGCGCGATGACGACGACGGAACGTGTTGCCAAAGTTGTGCTCGTGGACATCGAGGGCACCACAACTTCGATCAAATTTGTGCAAGACGTACTATTTCCATATGCTAAGGAGAATGTGGAGAAGTTCCTTCGGGATTCTTGGGCAAGGGACGATACCAAGCAAATCGTCCAGGATCTGCAGCAGGTGCCTCAGTTTGCTGAATACAAGAACACATTGAGTGCCCCTCCAGCGGAACTGGATGCGGAACTCATTACCGGCTTCGTGCGCTATCTAATCGACAAAGATCTCAAGGTGACGCCGATGAAAACGCTCCAGGGATTAATTTGGGCTCAGGGTTATGCCAGTGGAGAGCTCAAAGGGCAGTAAGTAATCTTACTCAAGTAATAATCAAACCATAATTGGAGTTTAAAACTTGAAGCTTCAATTTAATTTGTTGATATCCTATTAACATTATTATTCTGTTTTCCAGCGTCTATGAGGACGTCCCAGCTGCATTTCAGGCCTGGCGAGATGCTGGTCTACAGATTGGAGTCTACTCCAGCGGCAGTGTAGCTGCACAAAAGCTGATCTTCGGCCACAGCATTTTTGGCAACCTGATGGATCACCTTAGTGCCTATTTCGACACGCATGTGGGTCACAAGCAGGAGAAACAATCTTACGAAAATATATCAAAGTCTTTGAAGGTCGCTCCTGAGCATATTCTGTTTCTTACAGATATTCCCGGAGGTATGTATTTCGTTTATAAATTCAAGATTGTAATTCAACATTTGTAACTATTAAATGGGGTTACTACATATTTTAGAAGCCGCTGCTGCTCGCTCTGCCGGATTGCAAGCCATTCTTCTTCAACGCCCTGGAAATACCGCCTTAACCGACTCTCAGAAAACCACCTACGAGGTAATCCCGGACTTCAAGCCCCTTTACATTTTAAAACTGCCTTGAAACTAATCTTTGAAATGGACTAATAAAGACATGTACAACTCAAGTCAATTTAGAACAAAGTTAGAGTGCTATGTGTGCTAAGTACAGTATATAAAAAATTTCAAACCCAATTCATATTCCGTAATGTCAATAAATAAAGCCTGTTGGTTATTTTATGTGATACTAAAACGAAATCAGAATTAAAATTCTAAGACACGATGGATTTGAGTTGCGGTACGTTAAGTTCAGTGTTGTTAAGCTTTACCAATAATCCACAGCTATCGATAACTTCTTCAGTGCTTGCCAGTCGATAGCTTTTAACTCCATGGGAACAAGAAAAAAACAAACTTATTTCGCCACACAAAAACACAAAATTACAATAAAAGTCTTAATAAGTCAAATTTTTGGCACAAAATCTTAATAAAAATATGCCTATGTAATGCTAGAAAACATTTCGTTGTGTGTTATCAAAATAGAAACGGATTTGGAACCCAGTGCAGGTGAGGTGCCAGTCTGCGAATGCCCCGAAACAAAGGAACTTTTTGGAATAAATTGACCTGAATTAATTATTTCTTTGTCAGATTCCGAGGGAGCCGTTTCTGCCGAACACCCCACCAATCCACGTGTGCTGAAGGAGCGGGAACGCGATCGGGGATTGCGTCGGGCCCGCGATATAACCATCGAGACCTACACCAACCAGCGTTGGTCCAAGGAGCTGAGCGATCAGAAGGCGCCGCAGGTCACCAAGATGAACTGGGCGGCAACCGTGCAGCATGTCAATAGCCCCACGGCGGGCAGTTCGCGGGAGACAACACCTCGCAGCGGGGACGAGTCCGGCGGACCGCAAGCAACTGCCTCAAATTTCCCGCAGGAGATCGGCTACTTTTCTGGCAATCCCATCGTCGAGGTGACCAAGGGGCTCATCCATCTTTACAAGAAAAAGCATGTTTACCCAAATTTGAAAATAACAGCCGTGCTAATGCGTCTTTCCTACATCCTTTAGCGAACGCAAGGCCATCAAGGAGGCTCCATCCAACCAGCTTTGTTTGCTGGCCGTGCCCGCCACTCTCAACTGCCACGATCTGCTGAACTTTATAGCGCCCTGCCATGCTGAGATCAAGCACGTCCAGATAGTCCGCGATGGTAGTCCCAACCAGTTCATGGTGCTGCTGGAGTGAGTAACAGATTTTCAATTACAAATAATGGTTATTAACGTAATCGGCTTCCAGATTTCGCTCCAATGAATCAGCACTGGAGTTCTACAAATCCTACAATGGGATTGCTTACAACTCCCTTGAGCCGGACTCTCTGTGCCACGCGCTCTGGGTGTCCGCAGTCGAGCGTGGAGAGCACGAACCCCCGCCTTTGGGCCACACGGAGCTGCCCACTTGCCCCGTCTGTCTGGAACGGATGGACGAGAGTGTGGACGGAGTACTGACAATTTTATGCAACCACGCATTTCACGCCAGCTGCCTGATGAAATGGGGCGACTCTACGTGCCCGGTTTGCCGACATGTTCAGACCCCAGAGCTGGTAGAGGACTCCGTGTGCATGGAATGCGAGGGCACTGACTCGCTGTGGATCTGCCTGATCTGTGGCCATGTAGGCTGCGGGCGGTACCAGGGCGGACATGCTGCGGCCCACTATCGAGCCACTAACCATACCTTCGCAATGCAGCTGGGTACCTCCAGCGTTTGGGACTATGCTGGCGACAACTTTGTGCATCGTCTGTTCCAGAACAAGTCTGATGGCAAGCTGGTGGCCTCCCAAACAGAAAAGGACGAACGCGAGGAGAAGATCGATTCCATGCAGATGGAGTTCACCTACCTACTGACCTCGCAGTTGGACACTCAGCGCAAGTATTACGAAGAGCGGATGGAGCGACTGGAACAGGAGTGGCAGAACTTCAAGGCGAACGCCAACGAGGCCAAAACCGAGGTCTCCGAGCTTCAGCAGCTGCAACAGACTATGCAGAAGGAGAAGCAGAACCTGGAGCGCAAGCTCGCGCAGCACACAGCCAAGTAAGGAAATATATATAGCTTGATTTATTGTTCTTAAATTTGCATTGTAACTTTAGGCTCAAGGAGGTTCAAAAGCAACTGAACGAAGAGCGTGAACTGTCCAAGGCCCTACAGACCAACCAGAGTTCCTGGCACGGCAAGTACAAGATCCTGGAGCAGCAGTACAATGAGTTTAAACATACCCACGACGTCGAGGTAACCGATCTCAAGGAGCAGCTGCGCGATGTAATGTTCTTTTTGGACAATCAGCAAAAAATAGCCAACTCGGAGCTGGCTGGTGGCTCCATTACTGGGATTGGAGAAAAGGAGCCCGATCCCAGTTCTCGGCGTGGCAATCGTCGCAAGAAATAGAAAACGATCTTTTATACCATTTACACATCCATGTATTTTGATTCGAGTTGCACTGTCTGTCTATTTCCCGATTTGAGAAGGCTTTGAAACCCGAATACATAAGATTTAAAGCAGCTCTATATGTGATTTCCTTTGTGAAGCAAAGACCCAAGGATACTTTATAACCTAGTTTACTACTCTACTCTTAAGCGGATTCATAGGCTTCTGCCAGAAATATTTTGCGTTTGTTATTCAAGAAAATTAAAAGTTTTTGATGAAACTAAGGCATTTTTTATGTACATACCCCTGCAGGGATTTTATATCTTTCAAAACCTATGAAAGACGGTCGAATTGTGCCGAAAAGCGGGGTTTTTAATAGATTAAACTTCTCACAATTTTGGCACACATTTTTATAGTTGCAAGTTAAATCCAAAAAAATAATTTGATTTCCTTAACTCAATTTTTAAGTTCTTTGATTTCATTTTAAAGGAACAATATGGACTGAATTCACGGCACTACTTGTCCTCTTGAAGACAAGCATCTTCACAGCGGAACGTAGGATCCGATAACTCCTGAGACTCCACAATAGGATCCGTCTGAAAGATGTCAAGCTTTGCCTTCATCTCTTGCTCATTCCGATCCAAGTTCATCAAATACCCGGCAATGAAGGCGCGTGGATCCTGAGGAGAATGAAGGTGTAGCTGGGCAAAGGCTCGAACAAGCACTTCGCCCATCTGCTCCTTGATCTCGCCCTCCAGTCGATCGACTGCTTCCAGATTCTTGCCCTGCGGCAGCCAGTCATAGTCTTTGAAGCAACAGCACTCACAGTAGGCCTTTGGATCGGAGTCCTTTAAAAGTTTAAAGAAGGGCAGCAGCTCTGCCTCACAGCTCTTGAGGTTGGCCACCTCTCGTACAAAGCGTTTGTGCAGCTCACACACATCCTTCTCACAGCCCCGGATTACTGCCGTGTCCTCGGAGAGGGTCGCCGTCCGTTTTATATAGTCCACCGTGTTCTCGTGAAAAGACTTGAACTTGCACTTCTCCTCGTTATAGGCGTATAGACACTGGCGTGCATATACAATTATATTGTCGCGTCGCTTCCGTATCTCCTGGCTGCGTTTGGTAAAGTGGGTCTTCACCTCGTCCAAGCAATTGATTCGCTGTGCAAACTTGGTCATGTCCTCAATGCTCTCGCACACAACCTGTGCCTTTCCCTTATTCTCGTCGCCGCACTTTATATTCGCCTTGTTGATTCTGTCCATCTCCGCCTTCATCTCTACACTTAGGTTGCGGAGCTCTGTGTTTAATCGCTTCACATCGTTGTCATTACAGATCAGCGCCTGCAGCATCTCGTTCAGGCAGTTCTTGTGTGGATTGGGCAGCTCATCCGGGCAAGCAGTCAGCATCTTGAAATATGTGTTGCTTTTTTACTGCGGTAAAGGTTATTTATAAGGTGAACGATCTCTGTTCCTGGTTTGAATCAAGTGGAATGAATTATAGAGCTTTGTTGCATGGTTTGCTAAGCTCAAGGATAGTTATTTAGGAAATACAGCGTATTTTATCTTTATAATTATATAGTTTTCTTTAAACTTTTCGTTTTAGTTAAACATATATACTGTTGTTTCTATTATCTATCACAATGAATATTTGTGTGTTCGCGTGTGTGTTGTTAGTGTGAGATGCGTGTGTCTTTGTCATAGAATTCGGATCACGACGGTACAGTGAAAACAATCAAATTGACTTATGCTAGCATTAAACTCGTTACGAACAACTCTTTATATGTAGGCATAAGTAGAGTGTAAATTTTACCAGTTTTCTCTCCTTTTTGCTTTCTGAACAAAGACAGTCTTTAACAATATATCCGCAGTTGCGTTCCCGAATCCGCTGATATTGCGATTTAAATGGTAGCTTGCTACTCGACATTTGGCCATTAATGAGCAAGTGTGTGCGTTGATGGGGGACAGGGATGTAGGGAGAAAAAGGTGATGTGTAAACATATAAAGAAGATTCTATATCGTGAACATTCATATGAATATACCGTCCGAGAGGGGGCTCGGTATACAAAATGAAAATGACTAAGCACAAGACAGTGCACAAAATATACATACATACAAATAATAACAAAATTATCACGCCTGCTCCCATTTTCGAGTCCTACAAAGAAATATGTATCGTATAAATGATAGACAACAGGGAGCAGGGCCTTACAACTTAGGGGGCGAAATTAAATTAAATTAAATCGGTTAATTTAGGTTTAGGTAACAATATTCCAACGGAACCTGAACCCACTAAAGGCCCTAGTTGAAAGTGTTATAGCGCAGATTGCTATCGACATCGCCCACATTGCCGGCAAAGCCCGGGCTGGGCGGATCATCCGCCATGAGATCTGCACTGGACTGTGAGTGGCGGCGTTGTCCCGGCCACGACCACGCCTCCCGGATGCTATCCACCAGGCGCTGCGGGAATGTCTTGTACTCCATGTCCACCGACTGCGTATCGCCGAAGTTAAAGTCAGCCACTTCAACCGTGAATCTATGGGATAAGAATCGAAATATAACAATATTGTATACATATATTCATGAAGCTTAATTCTTACCGATTTCCCCTCTGTATATAATAGGCTACACCAAAGACCACTAGTATTACGGCCACCAAAGTGCAGGTAACTGGCACAACCACGACGGAAAGTTGAGACTGTCGCTGGGCTGTTGGTAAACAAATAATAATACCGTGAGTAAGCAGCTCGAGAGAACGGATTCACAAAGTCTACCCACCTTCATACATGTTAATGGTGACCTGATTGAGGGTTTGCGACACCTCGTTCCTTATAAAGAAGAGTATGGTCTTGCTTTCGCTGAAGTACCGCTTGTACTGATATGAGCAATTGACCATCGGATCGTATATCTCACACGTTTCATTTCCGGTCGAATTGTATGGAGCTGTTGGGAATTCATATTAATGATTTTTGTCTCTGCCTTTGCTAGCCCCACTTACCCGTAAAGACTTTCGAGCAAAACTCAAACGGTGGTGTTCCCTTGCAGCTGACGTCCAGGCTTAGCATCTCCCAGTGCTGCAGCCAGTTCTTGCCATTCGTGTCCACGGCAGAGATTGGATCTGGTCACAAAACGAAAAAAAATATTACTAAATATTAGACAATTTAATTGTTACTGAGCATCACTCACCTCTGGTCACTATTCGATGCTGGAAGTATCCGTAAATCTGCTTGGGATCCTGCGCAATGAACTTCTTACTCACGCAGTCAAACGGTGGCTCCATACCGGGCAACACATTGAGCTTGGACAGACGACGCACTCCCAGCGGATTGACCAAAGCCACAGACACATTTCCAGCCGACGCCTTTTGTTGCTTCAACGCGTTAGTTAGATTTAGGCCAAGGAGAGCGGCATTGGTGTGCATGGCCTGGATTAAGTCACGTTTGGCCCGTGGTGGTGCTGGCTTAGGAGTGGTGCTGGTGGTGGTCGTAGTTGTTGTGGTCGAAGTTGTTGGTTTGGGCGTCGTAGTGGTTGTTGTGGTCGTTGTAGTTGTAGTGGTGGTAGTAGTTGTGGTCGTGGTTGTAGTCGTGGTCGAAGGCGTCGGCTCCGGCGGCAACTCCAACGAGGCTACAACTAGGGCTTCCACGTCATAGGATTGCTCAGCTTGCGGATATGTTGCTATATAGTCCAGGTCCCCGGACATGCCAAGATATGTGCAGTTTTGGAACCAATAGGTTTGGATGTGATAACCCTTCGCTCGCAGAAACTCTAGATCGGACTCAGACAGCGATATGCTGTGATTCACTGCTTCCTGCGTGGACACAAAGTCATGCGGCCTCGTCACATTCTTTTGAATTAGCTCCAGCCTGCCACCCAACGTGCTGTCCAAGTTAATCTTCTTCTCGCCCTTGGCCTCTGTCAACCAAAGAATGGAATAATACTTCTCGACTTCGACCTTGATGACATGAGTGGTCGGTTCTTTCTGGGCGAAAGTCAAACTCCAATTGCTGCTAGCAATGCTTGTTTCCATCACCTGCGGGTAGATACAATTGCATTTGATAAGTGTCGCTTCTATTAGGAGCTTTTTTCAGGTCGCATGCAAATATGAGCACAATGGGAGCTACTAAAAGCCAGTACCAGGAACGATTGGAAACACTGCCACTGAATAGTAATTGCGTAAAATTAGCATACAAATCTAGTGCCGCCATATCAATTGAAGCCACATGGCTAAGATTAGAACTAGAAAGTGGAAGTGCGCATCGGTTAATCGGTGACTTGCACATTTAACTCTTGCACACATCTGGGTTACTCATATGTTTATGTATATAGAAATATTTTGCAAAGAAAACTAAGGGTCGATGCCATTGAACTCTTTGTCATACTTGCATTTTTTTATATAAATAGTTTAAGCTAATTCCAATCTGCCTTATCGCCAGGCTTCTGCGGAATTTTAAGTCTTGCATTCGGAGAGTTTCTCCCGGATATGGCAGTGATTATATGGTATAGAATTCTAGAAAACAGATTCTTTATAGTACGTGATACCAATGGATTTCCAAGTAGTGACTCCAAAATCGGTACTTGTTTTTGTAATCTCACTATAGAAATGTGAATCATAAAATTTATGAAAACCCTGCAGCATAAATATAATATTAAGATTCAATTAGAACTGCCAGATAAGTCGATCCAACTTGAATTGCGCCTCCTTTAGGTAAATGAACTACCTGGGCTTACCGCTTCTGACCAGTTTTTAATTAGCCATTAAGGGGCGTATACCGTAAACACTGGCATGGAACCAGAGAATCGCTTGCATTTGCATTTTTTGCTCGCAATTAGTCATGTCACTCGAATCGAAGCTTTTATATCTTGTCTGTACACATTCTTGTCTGTGACGTTACCTGTCGATGGCCAGCACTGTCGGTCCAGGTGAACCTGTAGGTGCCCTTGGCGGCGGGTTCACCCTTGTCGAAGAGCTGGGCGGACACATTGGCGGAGGACCCGAGGAGCGCGTGGTCGGGCGCCGTGATGTGGACCGAGTAACAGGTAACTGCAGTGGGAAATCGTTTGACATGAATTCGGGGACACCGAGCTTTATCGATTTCACCAACTCACCTGTCTGCAGAACAGCGCAGAGAACCAGCCACGCCGCCAGAGACATTTTCGCACTGCCGATTGGCATTTCCCGTCGAGGCTTGTTATGGAAAATCACTTGGGACTCCGCTGCCGCTGCTCCCTGCTCCGCTTACCATCCAATCCGAGTATTGCCACAAACAAAAGCTATCAAAAACAAAACAAAGGTCCACTTTCACAGCGGCAACACCCACTGTCGTGGCTTATACTATATATGTTGAACACGGTTAATTGCTTTTGTTAATCTTCGAGCGCCGCTCGCTTTTAATTGTACTGCATTTGCGTTTTTCTATTGCGTTTTTATTTATTTTATTTTTCTTGTTTTCTGGCTAAGTGTGCTCAAGTGCGCTGGAAATTTTTTTTCGCCTAGAACGTCATAACGCCTTACAAGAATTGGACGCATTTTCTTTTATCACGCCAGCTGGTCACACTATGTGTGCTGCCAGCCTTTATGTTTAAGTGAAACCATACAATCAGTGCTGCCAGAAAGCCAGAATTATGGCGGGATTTCTATGATTTTAAAACTTGGAGAATTAACTGATTCTTCTAACAAGAAAGGAAATTTAACTTCATATATAATATATATACACTTAAATAGTTGTTAAAATACTAAGTTCGATTTATTCGTTAGTTGTAAATACATATTCATATATGCGTACATATGCGTGTGTAGTGTGTATATATGTTAATATTTGAAGTAAACTTAATAGTACAAATGAAAGACAACGAGATGAGAAAGCAATAATTACTTTGGGATACGCGAACCGCACAGAATTCTCAATACATTGCTCGTCGGAGCCGGATTCTACTTCTTCTTGCTCTTGCCCAGGGTAAGCGTGTGGTGGGCGGTGGCCAACTGCTGCTTGCGCCGCTGGAAGTCGAGATAATCCTCCTCGAGGGCCTTGCGCGACTCCTCGAGCTTGCGCTTTTCCTCGGCATGGTCCCTCTTCAGCTTCTCGAACTTGGCATGCAGGTCTTTCTCGCTCTCCTTCAGCTCCGCCTCCTTCTCCTTCACCCGCTGGACAAACATCTGACGAACCTCCTCTTCCTTGGACTGCAGCTCGGCCAGGTGGTTGGAGCGTTTGGCCTCGAACGTTTGCTGGAACGAAATCGGTTTGTTCTCGCTGTCAACGTCGCTGAAGCCCATCTGCTCCAGCCGCTTCTGGCGGTAGAGCTCGTAGTGCCGCGTGTGTGTCTTTTCGCGCATGTCTTCCATGTTGGTGCGAATGAGCATCTCGCGCAGCTTCACAAAATCGCAGTGCGTCTCGTTCTCCACCTGGACAGTGCCCCAGGGATATTGGCGTGCTCGTATGAGCTTGTTGCCCACCTTGATGAACTCCGTGCTGCCAACTACGGCGAAGGGAATGTGTGAGTTCATGCTAGTGTTCGTGTCGGCCACCGTCTCGTCGTCGGTGGGGAACTGGTAGATGTGCACTCCATTGGTGTTTAGTTCCTGAATGATCTTCGCTTTGAAGCGCTGCAGCTCTACCTTGGAGATGGTGTCGGCCTTAGCGATCACGGGAATGATGTTCACCTTGCTATCCAGCTTCTTCATGCACACTAGATCCAGCGACTTGAGCCCATGTCCCGTCGGGCAGATAAAGTACAGACAAATATGGATGCGGCTGTCGTGGCACGTTACCAATGAGCGCTTGATCTTCAGCTCCTCCTGCAGATAGTTTTCAAACTGGGCGTCAATGTAGTCGACCACCGCCTTGAAGGAGTCGTCTTTGTTGATCTGGTCGCCATAGCCCACCGTGTCGCAGATGGTCAGCTTAAGCCGCACGTTGCTCTCCTGCAGCTCGTAGGTGTGTGCCTTCAACTTAACGCTGGGCAGGGTGTGGGGGCTCGGCGTGGACTCAAAGCTAGTGTTGAACAGCGTGTCCATCAGCGTCGACTTGCCCAGTCCGGTCTCGCCTGCAGATGGGGAAAATGAAAACGGGGTTAAGTCTCGTGCGGAATCACTGGCTCAATGGGCTCAATTGGTGCGGCAGCATTGGTGTCAGGGTGAAATTATAGAAAGCAGCGTCGGAAATCGATTGTGGGCACTCTGCATACTAATCATTACAGGCCGTCTGACTGGCGCATATTCAATTGTTTACCCATGGATATATCCAGATGGGTGTGCGCATGTATGTATGTACAAATTTAGGTGATTCACTTTATCTGAGCAGTGCACTCCAAACAAGAGACACTTGAGTACGCACACAGCTGCAGGCAAAGTAATAGCGTCAAGAAGTCCCTTACCCCTTCCATCGTTTCAATATTTGATCGGAAAACAGCAAGCTACAAGTTTTAAAACTTTAAAAATAATGAAATTGATCAGCGACTTGTATACAAATCTATGCTAATTAAGAAGTTAACCCATTGTTGAATATTTGTTTAAGAATTTTGTCGGTCTTTCAACGTTAACGTTTCCTAAAGCATGTAAGGAGGGTTATATTCCCTCGCAATAAACTCAAGTTAAAGTCCGGGAGCTATTCCATTGCCCTGTGCTGTTTTACATCCAAGTAAAACTTCGGTTGATTCACTGTGCCGCATACACACACTCTCACACATTATGCAGCCGATATACACACCTATGCACATGACGTTGAAGACAAATCCGTTCTGCACACTCTTGTTGACCAATTGGTCCGGCAGACTGTCGAAGCCCACATGGCCAGACTGCTTTAGGTTGCGAAGATGAACCTCCTTCTTGTTGACGAAATCCACTTCAGCCGACATTTTCCAATATTCTAATCCAAATCAAAAAAAGTATCCCGCAAAGGCGTCGCCAGCGAATCTGTAGCAGTGTGACCGGAGTTACTGAAGAAGGAAAAAACCACCAAATTTGATGTCCGTCAAATTCGCGTCGATGAGTTAGCGTCGAAATGGAACGGTGGGAAAAAAGAACATGGAGGGGATCTTTAATTTTTTATGTATTTCGTAATTAAGACACTAATTCGAATACAAAAAGTTTCCTAATGCTAAAAAATATATTTACTATTGTTTTCTTTGGGTTTAAAAGTAATTGACATTTAAATATATTAAAAAAAGCATAAGAAAAATCGTGTTTTCACGGATTTCTTAATATCTCGGCTAATCGAACGCATGCAGCAATGCCCGATACGCCAAAGTAAACGACGTTTATTGTAGTTTTACTCTACCAAGTTTCAATTTCTTTGAGCCAATCGCATAACTGTGATCTAACCTCGGGGTCGGCTCCATACAAAATAGGGCATCCAAAATTGTGAGGCTTATAACTTCGATTTACGAACGCGTGCACATATACACGGTATATAGGCTTACAGGGGAAGATTAAGAAATATTTGGTAAAAATTTCAATTGTTTTTAACAGTCAGATTTTGAGCAAATCGAAAAACAGTGGGTGGTGTATTTGGTCTGATAACTAAGGCGCGAACTATGAAAATGGAACCAGATGGGAACCAGCCGAGAACCACTCGCTGAACCAGACCATGGAACCATGTTACGAAAAATACCAAATTAAATAAAGAAGCAAATTGTTAAATAAAAAATTAATAAAAGTGACTGCAGACAAGATGGACATGGCTAGATAGACTCTGCTGTTGATGCTGATCAAGAATATATATACTTTATATGGTCGGAAATTATTTATTCACTGCGTTGCAAATTTTTGACCTGAAATCATATTACAAAGCAAGGGCATTGCAGCACTAGATTTGAGAAGCAAATTTTCGAAATAAGATTTAATAGGCTGCCCAATAAATGATATCGTTATTCTAAGAAATTTGGTGGGTGTTTCATCGAAATCCGTTCCGTAGTTTTGGAGAAATTAACATTTGAATTACTAATTTATATACTAAGGAGGCATGACTGTGCACCCCTGGTACCCAACTGTAATAAATGAAAAGTCGGAATTTCCCATTAACGACTGAACGGATTTTGATGAAACACAGATCAAAATGTCCAGAACTGCGATGCCGTCTATGGGACAGTCTTCCTTTTGCATAGGTTTAACCATAAAGTATTAATCAAGTTTTCTTGGTTTTTAGGCAGGCAGGGCTGCGGGATATATTTATTCTTTGCTTGCACATAAATGGAAATAAATGAAAAAGATAAGATTTCTTATGAACGACTGAACCGATTTTTACGAAATGTGGATCAAAATGTTCAGAATTGCGATGCCGTCTATGGGACAATCTTCATTTTGCATAAGTTTTTTAATAAAAATCAAATTAAATTGACTTCGTTTTTGGCAGACAGTGCTGCCAGATATATTTATTCTTCGAAGGAGCATTTATGGAAATAAATGAAAAAGTTATGTTTCATGAACGACTGAACGGATTTTGATGAAACATCTACCAAAATGCTTGGAATGTCAATTCCATTCATGGGGCATGCATATTTTATACAATTGTTTAAATGGTCAATAGGAATATTTTCTGGCGGGCTATTTATCGATAGGGTGTGGGAGGCACCTCTATCGATATGAAGGCAGTGTTTGTGAATGAGATGAGGAAAAAGAAAACGTTAATTTCTAAAAATCTCTGGGTTAGATTTAATAGAGATCTAATTCGAAATTAGAGAATATTTTTCCCTATCTTTTCAGATACCGTGCAAGTTTGCTAGCGTTCATTTAAGAGAGTAAGATTTTTGTAAAAGTTAGCGTCGATTTTGTTTGTCGGGTAGGGCATAACATGCCGCCGTGGTATATACTAAAATAATCTAAAAATAACGAAATAGATAATTTTTCCTGATTTAGCATAAGTTCGTTGTTTTTTCGGCGTGCCAAAGTTAGCTTTCCATCTTGTAATAATTATTTTTATTAGCTGTTGGGATGGACTTTTTTGAGAATATGTATAAAATTATTTTATTAAGCTACGATTTTAAGGGAATCCTATATTTTTCTATAATTCTTTTATAGCAATGGTCAAGCAAATCAAACTCGGCCTTTTTTTCTAGCTATTTCTTAGCACTGGACATAGTAGCGAGTGTTGGCCACACTGTCTTGCTGATGTGTCTCCGCCTGTCAAAAGTTTCATGCAAAGCACAAGGCGAAAGTTAAAAGTCCGTTGTTTCGATCTATTTTGCCACCCACTCGACCGCTGAGTATACAGGATGTCCAAGGACGCCAACCCTAAGGAGGCGCTAATCAAGGCCGCCTACGCCGACGTGCACAAGTTCGGGAACAACCGCGAGTTCGACAAGGCCGTGAAGGCAGTTAATCGCAGTAAGTGCAACGGGTCTCTACTGAGTTCACTCCACATACTAGCCAACTGTGTTTTCCAGTTCTTGGAGTGGCGCCGGATGACCCCACGGCTCTGCACTGTAAGGTTGTGTGCCTGGTGCAACTTTCAAAATTCGAGGAAGCCTACAAGTTCATCGAGAAGAATCGTCTCTCATCCCTGGCTTTCGAGAAAGCCTATTGCGAGTACCGTCTTAATAAGCAGGTGCAAGCGCTGAAGACCATTGACGATACAGGCCTGCAGCCGCTGCCGGCAAACCTCAAGGAGCTGCGCACCCAGGTGCTGTACCGCTTAGAGCGATACGATGAGTGTCTGGACGCCTATCGGGACATTATCAAGAACACCAGCGACGAGTACGAGGACGAGCGCCGCACCAACCTCAGTGCGGTGGCAGCTAACCTGGCCGTAGACAAGAACAAAGATGTTCCCGACGTGCCAGAGGACACTTACGAGCAGTACTTCAACAGCGCCTGTATTCTGTCCAACCGTCAGAAGTACGCCGAGGCTGAAAGGAAGCTGCGCACCAGCGAGAAACTCTGTCGCGAGTTCTTAGAGGAGGAGGGCGCCTCTGAGGAGGAGATCGTCGAGGAGGTGGACGTGATTCGTGTTCAGCTTGCCTACGTCCTGCAGCTGCAGGGCAAGACCAAGGAGGCCGGCACCATCTATGCTGACTGCTTGCGCCACAAGCCCAAGGATGCGGCTCTGGTGGCCGTGGCCAGTAACAACTCTGTGGTGATCAACAAGGACCAGAACGTCTTTGACTCCAAGAAAAAGATCCGCGCCGCTCTGGCCGATGCCTGTGAGCCGAAGCTTACCTCGCGCCAAAAGCAGGTCATTGCGCTGAACAACTGCCTGCTAGCGCTCTATACAAACGCCGGCGATCAGGTGCAACAGCTTAGCCAGAAGCTGGCCCAGAGCTACCCTCAGGTGGAGTTCGAGGCGCTGCTCATCCGCTGCAGCCAGCTGGCGAAGGACCGCAAGCATAAGGAAGCCATCGATCAGCTGCAGAAGTTCGCCGCTGCCCACAAGTCGCACGAGTTTGTCAGCAAGTTTGCGATCATCCAGCTGCAGCTGCTTCAAGGGAACCGGAAGGATGCCATTGAGACGCTCCTGTCGCTGGGCGAGGCGAAGTTTAAGCCCGGCATCGTGTCCGCCTTGGTGTCTCTCTACCTGGGCACGGACAATAAGCCTGCGGCCTCTGCACTGCTCAAGTCCGCTGTGGACTGGTACAAGAAAAACAACGTGAGCAGCGGGGACCTGTCGGACATGTGGCGTCAGGCTGCTGAGTTCCACCTGCGTGGCGGCGCCTCTGAGACCGCTGCCAGCTCGCTGGAAGAGCTACTAAAGGTAAACCCCAGCGACACCAAGGTGCTGGCCCAGCTGGTCATTGCCTATGCCCAGTTCCAGCCGAAGCGGGCGCTTGAGATTAGCCGGAAGCTGCCCAAGCTGGAGACCTTAACCACTGCCTCAGAGATCGATGCCCTGGAGGCGGCCAATTGGGTGATGTCTGCCAAGGCTGCGAAGAAGTCGGCCAACGCCAAGATCGAGCCTTCGCCCAGCACTCCTTTGGAGAAGAGAAAGAACAACAACCGGAAGCGGAAGGGAAAGCTACCCAAGAACTACAATGCCGAAGTGGGTCCCGATCCGGAGCGGTGGTTGCCCAAGTACGAGCGTACCGGTTTCCGGAAGAAGCGAGGCGGTGCACGCGGCAAGGATGTCATTAAGGGATCCCAGGGCATGGCTTCTGGAGCAGCCGATCAATAGTAAGTACTCTTAATCGCAAACGTGTTGATGGCTACTAATGGGGTTTTTCATTTTGCAGCGACATGTCCAACCGCGTCAATCTGAGCAAGAACTCCCCCGTCACCCCCGTCTACCAGGAGACCACTCCAGGCCCGAGGCAACAGCATCGTAAGGGTGGACACAAGAAGAAGAAGGGTGGCCGTTTCTAAGAACTTAACAAATGCCTTTATACTTTTGAAACGCTAAAATTATACAAACCAGTTTTGCATGTTATCTTATTATCGACTCGATCCACCTTTTACTCATCGTTGTCATCGTCTGCGGCAGCTTTGCTGCGCTTGCCATCCGTGGAAGCGGGTGGAGGCGGTGCTTCGTCCTTCCGCGTGTCATACGAGTGGTAGTGCAACGTTCTTATCCAATCTAGCATGTTCCGCTGCTCTGCTTCCGTCTTGTAGATCTGGCTAAAGATCTCCCGTTCGATGAACTCCTGGACCTTTGTCTCCTGCGCCTGCCACGTCAGTGGTTTGTGGATACCGTCTTTGCCATACCGATCGTTGTAGCGTTCGTAGTGGACAGTGTCCAACACCAAACCCAGACCTGGGGCCATTGGCAGGTCCAGGCGCTCCTCGGTCAGCGCCCGCTCCAAGCTCTCCGCCGTTGTGTTGCCCCTTACAATGGCAATGGCCAAGCCCACCATCTTGCGGATCTGATGCAGCATAAAGCTCTGGCCCTTCACTTTCAGTGTGATAAACTCAATGCCCTGGGGGCTCTGGAATGGTTCGCTACTCGTAAAGGACATGATGAAGCGCTTGGACGACGGATCCAGAAAGCTTCTGCAAGTACGAGATGGTAATCGTGAGTGCAGTTAAAGGATATGGAAGAGTATGCACTGCCGTACTTCTTGCTGGTGAAGTTGTGAAAGTTTTTCGTGCCCTCGTAGAGCTTCAGGGTCTCTCTGACCTTCTCCAGCAGCTCGGGGGAAATGCGAAAGGTGTCGTGCAGGTCCTCTACTTTCTCCTCGCACGACGCAAAGGCCATTGTGGGTAACGTATATGTGTAAGTCCTGGCATTGCACTGATCCTTGGCGTTGAAACCCTTTGTCACACGCTCCACGCCGAACAGCCGAATCTGGTCAGGTAAGTCTGCGTTAAAGGCCTCCAGATCTAGTTCCTCAGCTGAGGGGAAATTAATCGTTACATCATGGAATTTCAGATGCAGCTTCAACTTACGCAGCTTGACGGAGCACACTTGGCGAGCAGCGGAAACACCTTTGTCGGTGCGGGCTGCCCGCTGAAAGCAGGCGATCTGCACTTGCTCAAAGCTGTCCTCCGTGATCCACTTGTGTTTAAGCATCGCCTTAAAGAGCTCCTCCTCGATGGTTTGCATACCGGGGTTTCGCTGCATGCCGTAGTAGTTGGCCCCGCAGTAGCTCAGCAGGATTGCGCTCTTTTTGCGCTTTATTCGCTCGGCGGGATCGAAGGGAGCCCGTTTCACGCCGCTGGCTGCATCCTCCTCGTCCTGTGTCTTCCAGTCCACCCACTTTTTGCGCTTGAGATTCCGCTTGACACGGTTGGTCTCTTTTACCGCCTCGTCCTCCGACATCTTAGCCGCCTTCCTGGCGTCGGTCTCCAGCTCCAGTTTATCCAGAGCCTCTGACATGGCGGCAGCGAAGGATTTGTGTCGGTTGGTAAATAGTTTTAGGCGACCTGTACTGGTGGAAGTTCTTTGGTAAGCGATGGATATTATGTGGACACAGATAATAATTAACCTGCCTTGGTGTATCCGCTTAAAATTCGGCAAAGCAACATTTAATATTTAATTCTGCGGCTAAAAACAAAAACACACGTGCAAGTATCGATATATCGATGTTTGTTGGCACAATATCGATATGATATTTTAAGTTTCGATACGAATTAGCAGTATAACAGTGCGCGGCTCTCTGGCAACGCTGACAGCTCCCGACAGAGCAGAGAGCAGGTTTGTTAATTAAGTTTACATGTACATGTAAGATGTTAAATAACAGCTTCGGGATTCAGAGTGACCAGAAACTAAATGTCAAAAACTACTAAAACAAAATTTAGATTTATTGGTATTTTGATAGATTTTCAATAAACACCAACGACCCGACACCCGTCCGCACTCGAGAGAGAATTCTGTTAACTAACATCCACCCGACAACACTCGAGAAAGCAGAGAGCGGTTATGTTACGAATTCTACATTTTACATGAGAATTCGACCCCAAACATGAGAATTCAACTCCAAAACTGAGAACTCAACCCCATGTATCTGCAAACGTGTAGAATCGTCTTTTAGATGTGTACGGTGTAAAATGTTAATTCGGAATTCAGAGTGACCAGAAGCAAATAACAGAAAACACCAAGAAAAGCAAGCAAAATATCGTGGTCATTTTCCAACAAACAGTCACTTCAGCCATTTTGGAAATTTTTTTGTGAAGAAGCGTCCCAGGTGATTTCGCAGCGAATTACGGCAATAAAACCCCCCGAAACCCACTCTCGACGCGAAAAACAATTGCAAGCGGGTGCAGCTGGCAAGCGAGATGCCGCAGCGTTCTTTAAAGTGACGGCAAGACGCGAAATTAGCGAAATTCGGAACGGGCGAATCAGTCGGACGTGTATATGTAAAACGAAAGTTGTGCTTGTCGCGAAGCGGGGAGAAAATTTTTTGCAAGCCCGAGTCGAAGGTGAAATGAAAATGCATTAGCAGCCGAATGAAAAACCAAGCAAAAGCTGCGAAAAAGGCCAAACGATAGCAACAATAATACAAGACAGCAAGCGAAAACGCTTTGTGAAAATCGTATACCGTGCAGTGGCGTTGTTTTTGCTTTCGCTTGCCCGCGTCTGTGTGTGTTTGTGTGCGCGCGCGTGTGTGTGCATTGGAATGAATTGAGGAGCACAACATAGAAATACCTCAAAACAAGAACCCCCAAAGTGTAATCGCAACGTATTAACCATGCTGCTGGAAGGCGGCAGCTGGTGAGCGAACAAGTAACTAGCGCTATAATTAGCCCGCCCACATCTACCGCGTTCTACCGTATCCTTCCACGCGGATAACGCACCATGGATTTGGACCTGGAGCAGCTAAAGAACGACTTTCTGCCGCTGATTACGGGCATCAAGCAGGAGCAACTGGACACGGTGCCCGGCGATGTGCTGCCGCAGATGAATCTGCAGAGCGCGGCGACAGCGGCCAGTAGCGGAGCCCCCACCACCTCCACCTCCTCCTCCAGCACCTCCTCCGTGGGCAACCCCTGCGACAGCGCCGAGAAGCGGGTAAGTAACCTGGTTGAGGTTAATTGGCTTTTAATCGCACGTGCTCGCTATGCAGCCGTGCCGCCGATAAGAACCGGCGATGAATTGGCCCTTCGTGCGCATTGTCCAAACTGTTTTGCTTTGGCTCCGCTTATCTCTCAATCGTTGTCGCCCCGGTCTCGTGCAAAAAGTATTTGTTATCTTTTTCCCATGCCAATGCAAACAAATAGCCAGCACAGGCTCACAATCGCACTCACACAGGCGCATAAGCAAATAAACAGAAGGCCAACAATGTAAATGTATTTCACTTTCGCGTCCCAGTCCGAGTTTTCAGTTTGTGAGTTTTGCGCTCGAGTCTCGTGCCGATGGTTTCTGGTTTCTGGTTTGCCATCGGTGCGAGCAGATCAGCAAGCTGGCTCTCGTCAAAGGCTTTCTCCCTCGCTCCCATACACACGGGGAGCTAACTGGAGATGAGATGCTCTCTTGCCCCTTCCTTTCGCATGGTGATCAGCTGCAGCTGTCGCTCTCCGGATGACCATTCGGTAGAGAGAGTGTGCTCTGGTCGTTGGGTCTCTCGGTCTCTCTCTGGCCGTCACGCTTGAGCGGCTCTTGAAGCTACAGTAGCGCTTCCGTAAAGATATCGGTCAAATACGACTTATAGATGCTTTAGTAAGTAAAGGATTTTTTTTATACACATAAAATCCAATAGGACCCAATGTACACAGTGTATTTTGCTCGGGATAAAAGCTAGAAGGCTTAAAAGTATTAAAAAGTTTAACAATTTACGCTTTGGCCCTGGCGTGAAATTATTTAAATTAATTCGAATATAAATTTTCCAGCTTGTTATACGCAGAACTCTTACACTGAAATAACGCAATGTTAATGAATTGTAATCAATGTAGGAATCGCTCATCTGTAAAAAAAAGAAATCGGAATATATTTTACTTTATTTTTAATTACGTGAAAATTGTATGTGCTATAACGACGCATTTTCGTACTGTACTTTGCGGAAAGGAATTAATATGATCTGCAACATCAACAGGCGATGCAATCCAACAATGTTTTTGTACGTTGGCTTTTTATAAGTTTATTTTATAAGTCTGGCATATATTCAAAATGAGAGTTATATAACAAGTACAAGTAAATTAATTTGAAAGCCTGAAATCCAGAATAACATTTACATTTTTGCTTTTAAATTATGACTTGAAGGGACCTTTCTTCGGCAATTTTTCATTGTTTTTGATGATGTTGATGTCTAGGTAGATTTGTTTTTTTTTCTGAATTCATATATAGATTAAAACTTCTCATGTATACTCAATATTAAGTAATGATTTATTCGGTACCTTTCTGATTGGTTTGTTTTTTGATTGCATACATATTTTAAGCAACATTAAATAATTCTCGTTTTATCTTCTTCACAATAATATCTGCCTATATAGGATGTTTTCAGTGGTTTTAGTCCGTATGGAAACTCTTTTGCTGCGGCTCGTGCAAATAAATGTTTGCCTTGAGTGCTGCCTTTGGAGTGGCCCGTCCACTCTCTCACATACACACACGGTGCTGGCAATGACATGCACTCGTTCAGTCCGTCTGTCAATCATGCAAACGATTGTGTTTGCTGTGGTCGGTGGAGGCACTTAAGGCCTCCAGATTCCGAGACTCAAGCCCCTTATCCCAGACCCCAGGCCCTCAAGAAGGCCCGACCTTAGCCCTGCAGCAGAATCCTCTCCGGAACACTTAATGCCCATTTCTGATGTGGGGAAAATGTTTGTGTAACCTTCCAAGTGTAATGTAAATCTTCGAGCAAGGTGTCGTGTTGATAAGGAGTAACAATAATGTCTGACCATTGCAAAGGGGCTTGATTTCGCTATAATAACTAACTCGGTTGGTAACTACCTTAGTTGGTATATATAAATACATCACTCACTAAAATAAATCTCCCTTTTAATTACTATAAATATTATCCGGTATTTTACTAGATATTGAGCTAACGTTCATTATATTTTGTTTGTTATTCAGTTGATTATTAAAACAATATATTGTTTATTTCCCATAAAGTATTTATTTACCCATTTATATTCATTTATACAAAAATGCTATAAAATTAACATATTTATAACTAAAAAAAAATTATATATACATTAATTCAATCAAAAGCTTGTTATTAAGCATAATAGCATAACGAGGTGAACACTGAAATAAAATAAAACCTTGAACCTTAAAATATCACAAAACTCTTCTTAAGTTTACACTTTTTAAATGTAACCCAGTATTGGTAAATGTGTATGCGAAGGATTACTTGCTAAACACTGCAATTTGTTGAATGAACCGAAATTCAAATGAAATCATTATATTTTTTTTCTGTAGATTTATTCTCCTGATTTCTTCAAGCTCCTCTTATAATTTTTTTTTTTTTTTTACTGCTCTACAGATATATGCACATACATACATATGCACACATGTTGTTCAAGTGGTTGTGTTTGGACATTTTGAATAGTTTTTACCAGGAATACTTCACTGTTAATTTTGATTTGCTAGCATATTTTGACTGTTTTATGAATTCAAAGATTTATTAAAGAAGGTCAGACTGTCTTTAAATTGACTGTCAGTTTAAATGTCTTGGGAATACCTAAAATTGACAAGGACAGTTATATAAATGTCCGTCTAGTTAATCCACGTTTGTGATTATGCTAAACAAAAAAGAGGAAACCAATAAATCCGACGCTCCTGTCAATATGGCGGTCTTAAGTCATTAAAACTGACAGCTGACAGCGAGAGGAAGAGGAGAAGTCAACAAGGGTCCATGTGTCATCTCTGAAATGTTGCAGCTGAATGCACTTTTCCAACCCTCGACAAGGCCATAGTTAAGACTCGCATAAATATGGCCGTAAATATGTATGTATGTATTAACATACATTTGTATGTGTGTTGGAGCTGGCATTATGTGTGTTGGCTCATGCATGCGACAGGTTGTAATTAAATTGCTTGACACCATAATAAATGGAAACCCGAAATCGGGCGACGCCATTTTGTTGGATACCGTTTTGCTCGCCACTTTCCGACGAAACACCCGAAATGGATTCTTAGAATTTCGCCTTTAATGATGTACAATTAACTCTAATTTGATGGAGAATATGCAAGCAAAGCGGAACGTGCGATGACCAGACCCGGGCCAGGGAAGGGGCAGGGAAGCACTAACCCACCGAAATAGTCGTTAAGTGCACAGGGGAAAAAGTAAAGTTTCTAATTAACTTGATTACCCTGCAATCTGACCAAAGAGATCTAGGAAAATTCTTGTCTTTTCACTTTTCACGGGCTACCTGCCACTAAAACAGGCAGCTCTAAACATCCAACTCAAGGTACCAGCGCACCGGCACCTTCCACCTGTCATCCCGCTTCCATCGCATCTTCTTTTTAAAATATCGTCTATTATCGCACATACGGTGGAGCATCGTTAGGTTCAATTATATTTTAATTTAAAATATTAACAATGCTCTTATTGGCTTGGCTTTTATTCAAATAAATTTAAGAATCTTTTTTGTGCTTGTGTAGGTATTTCGCACGAGAAATTTGTAAAGGAATAGACGTATTTCCTTAAAACTTATCACAGACAACTGTTTATGCTTAGACTGAATGTGTAATTGAATTTGTAATTAGACACCTGTTTACTTCTCAGCATTATAAACCTTTTGCTAATTGTGGTGTCACCTGTTAGCTTTCACAGTTGCAACCACTTTTGGGAAATTTCTCCCTCTGAAAATTGCACTTAAATCGATCAACTACTTAAAGAAATATATATGAAAATAATTTCAAATTTATTTTTATTAAGAAATCGCGGAAAATCCTTAATTTATGATCACAGATTGTGTGGCCATTAGCTAGGTCCTACTGTATATCCAAGGTATACACATTTTAATTGCTTTTCCGAGCAGTCAGTGGGCGTTAGGCCGCCCTAATCCATCCATCGACGTCCAGTGCGTAATTAAAGTTGACTGCGACTGCGGGATCAGTGCGGATGGATGTGGGCGACGGATGAGGGCGGGGGCAGCTATCTGCCCAACATGTGTACGTTGGTCGCACTCCTGTGCGGGGATTAGGTGCTACACAGGACATAATCCGATCACAAAAAGAGGATTATAACGTACAACAACAAATATTGTGCAGTCAGCAAAAGCAATGGCAAGCGTACCGAATTGACGTAACTTTAAATTGAAGCGTTTCGAGGAGGAGAGATAGGAGACTCTGTTCTGGCAAAAGTTTCATAAGCTGCACAAGTCCTGAGACCGTCTGTTTTCCTATCCCTATATATCCCCACTCGGCTGGCAGGCAGAGACAAACAGAAGGTATACCTTTGAGCTGCGTCAGGGCTTTCCAGCTGCCCTGCCACGCCCCCGATACGCCTACAACTACGCCTACGCCACGGTTCCGTATCGACTATAATAATGCTGTTCCTGCAACCGCCGTCGTCACGATTTTCGAGCCCCCTTGCTAGCTGGGAAGTCTTACCGGTTTGTGTATCTACATCTGCGGGGAGTCGCCATTTTGGAAAATACTTGTGCACACTTTAGCCCATACATATATACATATAACGTGGTGTCTGTGGATGTCATGGCCTCCGGGAGCAGGAACAATTGCATCGGGCACAAAAAGAACCGCAAACCGCAGCAGCAGCAGAAGCACCAGCAGCAGCAGCAGCGGCGGCTGTGACGGCTTTGGTAAGCTCCAGAGACCGAGGGCCACCAGCTCGTCGGACCAACGCAACCACAACGCCCTGCCCAAAGCCACCGTCGCCGTCAAGCGTCGTCTGCAGCAGCCCCGGGGTCCAAATCCGTAGAGCAGCCGTCAGCTCAGCCCGTTCATTAGTTTGCGGTTTCCTGGTTTCGCTTCGGTCTCGTCCAGTCCACGTCTTTGGTCCCCAGCGAGGTATTTTCAATTTTGAATTTATACTTGCTGCTTGATTGGGAATAATGATTATTATATTCGTACGGGAACACTTCCCCCAAGTCTTGTCTTCCTCTATA